GGTGATGAGCTCCAGCTCTGAAGCTTTACTCGTGGCTGACTCTATAATACGTCCTCATGTTGGCCTTGCTCTGGCCCTGGGTGGCTCCCCAGTCTGTCACTCCTGCTCCCTGGAATGGTTTCCAAATAAAATAGCTGGGAACCTGGGCTAAGAACTGTTAGGTCAGTGGTTCTCAATCTTCTGGCCCTTTAATACAGTTCCTCATGTTCTTTCCCCCAACCATAAAATTATTTTCGTTGCTACTTCATAACTGTAATTTTGCTACTGTTATGAATCGTAATGTAAATATCTGATATGCAGGATGGTCTTAGGCGACCCCTGTGAGAGGGTCGTTCGACCCCCAAAGGGGTCACGACCCACAGGTTGAGAACCACTGCTATAAGGTATTAATAGTAATTTACAGATATGACCTAACAATTCATTCAATCTTTATTTAATAGTGAATTTAATGTTTTCCCTCTCCCTGAGCAAATTGTTTTTTGTCACATAATCTATTTCCCTATGTCCCCCACCCCCATATTATTAAGGTCCCCAAAATAGTTGATATGGACAGAATAGATGTGAGAATGTTGGATTTTACAAACTACCCCAAAATTTAGTGGCTTAAGACCGTGATTTATTCCTTATAATAATGTAGGACAGCTGCCCACATGGTATAGGCTGGGGTCACATGTGTGGCTCTATTCAAATAGCATTTTAACTGGAACTATAATGCCCTTGGTGGTTGCACTTCTGTGTCTGGCACCTCAGCTGGGGTGGCCAGAAGAGCTAGGGGCTGCCAGGCATTCCTCTCCCTACAAGTCTCTTATCATTCAAGACTCTGGCCTAAGCTGCTTTATATAGTGGTTCGGTCCCAAGTGGAAGCTGTTAGGTCTCTTACGGCCTAAGCCCAGAACCGACACAGTTACTTCCACAGCATTCTATTGGTCAAAGCAAGTTACAAAGCTAGCTCAGATTCAGGGGAAGATTCCACCACTTGATGGCAGAAGTTGTTTGTTGGTGTCTGTCTTCAAAGACAATCAAAAACTCTTAATTAAATTCAGGTCTTACCTCTTATGCTCACCAAACCTTCAGAGGTTTGCTGAAATCAACAATTATCAAAGAAATTTGTAAAACGGCCCTTGTAATTTCTACTTAGAAGCTAGGGCAGGGAGCTTGTGTGAGTAGACATGATCATATATTAGTTTATATAATAAATTCCACCCCCTTTGCCACATTGCCTTTGTCAGTTGCCCTTTCGTTGAAATGTTCATACTGATCGTTTTCCTTATGGTACTTGACACCTTTAAGGTATGTTATGCTCCATTTATGTGGTAAGAACTTGATTTGACCATCGAATTGGAAATAAACAAAAAGGTTATTACTGAAGCTTTCACTTTTAGTTAATCTGAGCAAAGGTTTGGATTTCTTCTCTGTGACCTTAGGAGAAGTAGTGTGAGGTGTCACTTGACCAGAGGGATACTCAAGGGACATTGCTACAAACGAGGATCGGAATCTCACTGGTAGCTTGGGAGCCCATGGTAAGACAACTATTGGGCCAGTTGTTCTCATGTTCCTCTGCAGCCACACACATTGAATTTTATCACACGATGCCTTAGAGACCTCTGCACCGATGTGTTTTTCTATATATATTTCTTCAGACTCTTGAACAGAGGACTTTATACTGGGACCTTACTTCTGTATTATCTATCACTCTTCTCCCAAACAACTTAACAGTCCTAAGTTTATCATTCATGTAGGATGATGTGTGTGTGGTTGTGTGTGTGTGTGTGTGTGTGTAGAATGAAAGTAAATAGAGCCTCCATAGGAAGCCTCATTTGGGTGATGGAGCCAAGAATGAAACCAGGGTTCAGTAGGAAAATTCCTTATAAAGGTCTGTCTACCTTCCAGAACTCGAATCTGGGAGTTTATGCCAACTTTTAGTGTGAAGACTACCATTTGCACTGCCTCTTTTCTATTTAACCTTTGAGTTTATTTATTCTTTGAGGTGGGCTCTGTTCCACATAACAGGAACATTAAGATAAATGACCATACTATAACTGGGCAGTGTTACACTGTTAGAGACATTTAGAAGAGGAGTGAGGGCATGAAATAGAGCTGGGAATGCAGGTGAAGTTTTCATGAATAATATGGAATATACCCAGTGATAACTGCTTTAATTTCCTAAATATTTAAAATGGGATCTTAGAAACCCAGTTTATAGACGGTATAGTATGCTGCTATCTCAAAGAAGATAATATACCACGGAAAGCCTGTCTTGGGCACCCTTCCTCTCAAGGATACAGGAGTGAAATATACCATCATTAAAAGATGGAATTTATCCATATCATACATTTTTTTCTGGAAGAGGAGTCTTGCAAACTCATAAACTTTTTCTTTTTTGGTTAATCGTCAACCCGAGGATATTTTTCCATTGATTTTTACGGATAGTAGAAGAGAGAGGGAAAGACAGAGAGAAATATTGATGTGAGAGAAATACATCGATTGGTTGCCTCATGCACGTGCCCCAACCAGAGCCCGGGTTGGGCCGGGGGGGCGAGGGGGAGCCTGCAACCAAGGTACATGCCCTTGACCAGAATTGAACCTGGGACCCTTCGGTCCGCAGGCCAATGCTCTATCCACTGAGCCAAACCAACTAGGGCAGAATCATAAACTTTTGTAGAAATCCACTATAATCTCTACCTTGTCGATTTCTTAAATATCTTTGTGTTCTCTGAAATGTCAGCAATAGTGAAGGTAGAAAAGTAGATTGCCAATAAAAAAGGAGGACAGTTAATTATGGATAGCCAATGCCAGTTGATACACACTCATTTAGGTTGAAGCTGAGAAGAGAGTGTGCCTAGCCATGTAGATTGGCTGAAGCCATGTAGGGTAGGGCTTTAATGTCTTGCTAAGGAATTTGTGGAAATCAAACGTGGTATATGATTAGAAAACTGGTTTTGCTGCATTATCTAGTCTGGATTGGAGAACCTGGTGGCCCAGAAGGCTGTTCTTTCAGTGATCGAGTAGAAGGTGGTAAGCACTAAGTTAAATTGGCGGCTGTGGGGATGAAGGACAGTGCCAAATTGTGTGTGATCTTATTCTACCCGGATCTGATGACATCTCAGCATGAAAACTTCCTTAGTCTCTTTTTTTAAACCTGCCTACCTGCTAATCTGCAGTGGTAAATAGTGAAATAATCTGACAGTTGAACTCTTCAGTTCACTTGCCAAAAACGTCTGTCCCAGTAGAATGGATGAATTGTTTGCAGCCCTGAGTTGATGAATGTGTTCTTCTAAGGCCTTTTCCAAAGGTTAATAGGTTGCAGAACTTAAAAGCACACACTCAGATTGCAGAATTAGTTTGTTTTGTATGAATTTTGAAGCTGCTAGAACTTTCTATACTGGTAATTTTTAAAAAACACCTCAGTGTTCCTAACCATTATTCTAAATGTTTACATAAGATATGTTTATATAGCATGAGGGAATTTCTATTACTATAAATGAAATAAGCAGCATCATTAGAAGTTTATAGGTTAACCAGACTTTATTTCTGAAGAGTGTTTTATGGCAAGTGAAAGGCTGTTGAACCGACACCTTTTCTAAAACTGTACCAGGGCTGTAGGGAGTTGCAGCTGGAGGTGCTGAGGAAGCGATTGCTGACACAGTGAGGTTTCCATGTTCCCTTTCATCACTGTAGCCTGAAATGTGTACTGTTGGACAAATAACTGAAGAAGTTGTGTGGTTCAGGTCGTGTTGGGACTAGCCAAAGTCTGCAACCTGTTCTCCTAGCATTGCTGTTATCAGTAATCACAGGGAACTGTTTTACTGAATGTCACACCAAATTCGATAACTCACAATTATATTTTGGATGCACTTGAATTGCCTTTGTTTCAGCTAATAGTGTTACATACTCCCTGGGAAATGATGATGATGAAACAAAACAGGTGGCTGAAGATAATTAGAACTTGAATTTCACTCTGGTTTTTCCACTTCTTGAAAACTAACATGAAAAGAGTACTTGGTTAATCACTAAGAAGACACTGCATGTCAGCAGGCTCACCTCAAAGTGGTTCTTAGAACACACTTGCTCGAGTAGACTGTTGGGGTGGGGTGTGTTTTAGCTGTTATTAGGGGAACAGTCAGTCTCTAGTTGGGGTGGATGTGTTTCAGGCGGAATAGTTTGCCCTATCTTTTGTATTGGTTTTATTTCTTCGGTTAATGGTTTATGTTGTTAAATGAATTGGAGAGTGAGGGGACATCCTGTTATCTTCTTGTCATCTTTGTCTTAGCCCAATGCTGGGCTGTGTGTAAGCACACGGAGAGCAAGCTTGTGCATGATTTCAAATGGCCCTGTGAGGTAGAAAGCAACCTGTCAGCTTGCAAATAAGACTGGATTGTATGCTCTTGACACCCTTACACAGATCTTGTATCTGGAGTATTTTAGCTTGAGAATTGACTGAATGTGGTTGGCCCCAACTGCAAGTAGCACTTCTTTATGCTTGTGGCATCAGTGTTTTTGTTATGTGCTTGACCAGTCCAGACTGAATCGTGTTGCTATAGTACCAGGTTTCATCAGTGTTCCAGTCATATTTTACTCATAGCCAGATGGTATAGGGATATGTTTTTCCTTTGCTTGTCCAGATTTGATTATCCATATTTTACAGAGATTTTAATTTTGAAAAATAATTAGTGGAAGGCTGATTAAGTAGAGATATGTGTTTGGGTGTTGAATGTAAGTACATGATCAGCAGATATGACACGTATCATACGACAGATATTACTGCTGGGAACTTGGATTCGGAGAAGGAGTTATTAGTCTCCTCTATACTCTCATTGACATTTTTAGGAGTTCCTGTCTTACAGTGTGTCATAAAACTTATCTTCAGAGAAGAGAAGAACTGGAAAGCTACCAAATATTGGTGGTTTGGATATTCAAAACTCCTTTATGGATTTTGAAAGGTAAAAATGAAAGTTAAGTTATTCAATTCTTTTTTGTTGTTGTTAATCCTCACCTGAGGATATTCTTTCTATTGATTCCTACAAAGAGTGGGAGGAATGGAGGGAGAGAGAACAATAGAGAGAAACATCGATGTGAGAATTGGTTGCCTACCTCACAAGGAATCAAACCCCAAGACCCTTTGGTTCGAGGGCTGATACTCTACCGTGAGCCACACTGGCCAGGGCACATTTACTCAATTCTTAACGTTTTACTTTCAGTGTGCTTTTCCTCATTGTTTTGGTATTTAGGAATTTGTAGCTGTCCAAATGGCTCCTAGATGGCTCTGCATCTTATAAAACAGGAGTATTTGATTTTAAATCTTAATTATACCTAGTTCTTACCTATTAAGTTTTTCCCCAGACTAGTTAATTTTAAATTATTAGGTCTTCTCAAGCATATGATTAGCAAGGCGTAATGTATTTGAGGCTTGCAAAAGTTTCAGGGGGAAGGACAGGATTTCTGATTGAATTTTGCTTTATACTTGGGCTTGCAGGAATTGTGGGAGGTGCTTCAGTGAAGAAATGGACCAGTGTGTATAATCATGGAGTCTCCTTGCTAACCATCACCACCTGCTCTCCCTGATACGTGAGAGAGAGGGTCTGGGGAGAAGGAAAGAGGTCAACATGAAGCTGAAGCAGCGAGTCGTGTTGTTAGCAATTCTCCTTGTCATCTTTATCTTCACCAAAGTTTTCCTGATTGACAACTTAGACTCATCGGCTGCCAACCGGGAGGACCAGAGGGCTTTTCACCGAATGATAGCTGGCTTGCGGGTGGAGCTGGCATCCAAGCTGGACCACACCTTGCAGTCTCCCTGGGAGATTGCAGCCCAGTGGGTGGTTCCCCGGGAAGTGTATCCTGACGAGACACCAGAGCTGGGGGCAATCATGCATGCCATGGCCACCAAAAAAATCATTAAAGCTGATGTGGGTTACAAAGGGACACAACTGAAAGCCTTACTGATACTTGAAGGAGGACAGAAAGTTGTCTTCAAACCTAAGCGGTAAGTCTTCATCTTAGAAGTTATATGTGCTAGTTGGTTGATGCGTGTAATCTGGGATTGTGTAAGAGGGGTCATCTCCTCTTGGTTTTCTCTTCAGTAAAATGAGAGGGGTAGACTGGACGATCTCTGAAGTCTTTTCTAGGTCTTAGTGTTCTGTGAGTCTTCAAGTAAGGGAAATTTTAGGAACATGAATTGGTTCCATATAAGACAATTTTTTTTTACAGTTAGAGCTGTCCTTCTAAATTTATCAAATATCTACTATGTTCCAGATGTTAGAGATACAAACTGAGTTAGTTGGGAAATAAGCCACTTGTCACCAAAACTGTGCAGTTAGAGACTAGATAACTACATGTTTTAGAGAAGGAGTTACCCAGAGCTAGAGTGGGTTTTGGATCAATGACTAAAGTCCCTCTTAGCGCTAAGCTATAATTCTTTCACCTGGGTTTTGTTCTTGCTTTAATTTTAATGAATAGACTGTTTTCTAGTCCTCATCCGAGGATATTTTTCCCATTGATTTTTAGAAAGAGAGGGAGGGGGAGAGACAGAGAGAAACATTGATGTGAGAGAGACCTATTGACCCGTCAGTCCAAGGGCTGACACTCTCCAAGCATGTCATACTCGCGGCATGACTCATTTATAAATTCAGCCCACTGGCCGGGAGTTTGACATGCTTGCAACCACTGTGCCAAGCTGGCTAGGGCTATACTTTTTTTTCGTTTTCAAAAAGCAGTTTTATGTTTACAGAAAAATCAAGGGTGAAGTACAGAGAGCTCCTATGTATTCCCTCTCCCCAGTTTCTCATATTATCTTCCATTTGTGTAGTACATTTGTTATAATTGATAAACCAATATTATTTTATTAACTACTGTCCACACTTTACATTAAGGTTCACTTTGTGTTTTATATTCTGTGGGTTTTGATAAACATATAATGACAAGTATTCACCATTACAGTATCATACAGAATAGCTCACCTGCTCTAAACATTCCCTGTGTTCCACCTATTCATCCCTCTCTCCCCCTCTCCTTCCACTCTCTCTCCCTCTCCCTAGCCCCTGACAACCACTGATCTTTTTACTGTCTCCATACAGTTGGAATCAGACCTTTTGTAGCCTTTTCAGATTGGCTTCTCTCACTTAGCAGTATGCATTTAAGGTTTCTCTGTCTTTTTTTAAAATATATTTTTATTGATTTCAGAGAGGAAGGGAGAGGGGGAGAGAGAGAGAAACATTAATGATGAGAGAGAATCACCGATTGGCTGCCCCCCCCCCCCGCAAGCCCTCTATCAGGTATCCAGCCTGAAACCCCAGGCACATGCCCAACCAGGAATCTAACCATGACCACCTTGTTTATAGATGGATGCTCAACCACTAAGCCACACTAGCTGGGCTCTCTGTGTCTTTTTGTGGCTTGATAGCTCATTTCTTTTTATTGCTGAATAATATTCCATTGTCTGTATGTACTACAGTTTGTTTATTCATTTCACCTACTGAAGGACATTGTAGTGCTTCCAATTTTGTCAAAGTTATGAATAAAGCTGCTATAAACATTTATGTGTAGGTTTTTGTGTAGTTGTAAGTTTTTAGCTCATTTGGGAGCACAATTGCTGGATCATATGGTAAGAATATATTTAATTTTGTAAGAAACTGTCTTCCAAAGTGTCTGTACCATTTTACATGCCCACCAGCAATGAATGAGATTTCTCTTGCCCCACATCATCCTCACCAGCATTTGGTATCTGTGTTTTGGATTTTGGCTATTCTCTTAGGTGTACAGTGATATCTCATTGTTCCTTTTACCTGTGTTAAGCAGAAAACTGGGCCATTTTAGTTACCTTGGTCTAAACTTGAACTGGAGAGTGGACTCTATGTTGTTAAACAGCGACACCTTTGGACTTCAATTTGTGTGTCAGTTCTGTAGTATAATTAATTTTTTGAAAAATTTTCTGCGAATATATGAATTTGAAATAGGTTAACATGGTAATTCATACTCATTTGCCAGGAATTAGTAAAGGGTGAATTTTCTCAAAGTTTGTAATATCTAAAATTTTCTGTGTACTAACCTTTTTTTCCCACTTCTCGAAGGAGCTTTTGAAAGAATTAAAACACATACTTTGGGTCTCTTGCTGGAGTAGGAGAAGAAATACGAGGCAATGATGTACAAAACTCAACTGTGAGCAGAGTTGTTGGCCTTGTGCCTTCATTACCCAACTCTCAGTAGATAATAGGCAGCCAGAGAACTTATATATTGGGATCCCAGAAATGGAAGGGATCTGCATTTACTTGGAACTGGGAAGCATGATTTATGGAAGGTGTGGAAATTAGGAAAGTTAAAAAATGTAGCCTTTTTTGGAGAACACAAGTCTGATTGGCAGGTAATAAGGAAGAGTATAGTTTCCATTGAATGCACACTGTTTGCCAGGCATTGCACCAACTACGTTTGTATCTGTTAATGTCTCTAACCTTCATCACAACTGTGGGCAGTCATAGTACTTATTTCCAGTAAGAAACTGAGGCGTAGGGACAGAACTAACTTGACAAGGTCACCCTGCAGCAATGAATTGAGTTGGCGTTTGGATCTGTTGGAGTGTGAGCAGCTGGTGTTGTGCTGCACATGTAATTCTCTTGTTTGCCTTCCTGTAAGTGTGATGACATGGCACACCCATCATAAAAAATCACTAGCTTAGTTTTGAAATGTGGCCTTTGACCTCTTGGTTTTGTAGCCTGAGAGATAAGCAAATAGATGAGTCATGGGCATTTTGTGTTTAAATAAGAGGATATCCTCTCCACACCCACTGTTTGTATACCAGATAATTGAGGATGAGATGGGACAGCAAGAAGTGTAGAAGTCAGGTTGTCCTGGTAGTGGGCAGTATTTGTACCAGTCCAGGTGCTTTGTAGGTATACCTGGGTGTTTAGACAAGGTATAAGTGGAGGGAGAGGAGCCTGGCTGGTGACTAGGGGAGGAGGTCTCAGATAAATGCATAAACTAACCTTAGTCACTATTGCTTCATCTCATATCTCTTACAACCTTCTCATTACCTTCCTCTTCCAGACCATGCCAAACGCTTTTATTCTTCCCCCAATGCCATATTACCCCTGTGCTGCTCAGCTTCCAAACATCCAGGGACTTCCCATTACTCACCAGACCAAACCACTGTCCACAGCCTAATGGTCAGGCCCCTCAGTCTAGTTCTCCTCTCTGCACCCAACTTTTTATTTCTGTTGAACTGGTCCCCTTCTCACCACCACCTCCTGAAGAGCCTGTGTCCACCCCCAGCTCCAGGGGACTGTTCTCCACCACCTAGCAAGCTCTGTGGGCTCCTGCAGTGGAGATAGTGCTGAGTCCCTGCACACACTGACCTGTGCTGACTCCACCTGGCACTGTCGCAGACTGGGAAGGTGGCTGTACGGTTAAGTGCTTGTAAAAATTGACTCCAGTCCTGAAGCACCTAGCACATTGCTACTGTGACCCCAGGGACTTCAGAGGCTATTTAGTCCCCATGTAAGTGCAAATTAATGTCCTTGGTCAGACTCTAATGTCCTTCACCAGAGGGTAGGAGTGATTTATTGGCCGTTACTGTATGAATTTTGCTGCTGTTTCAGGGACTTAAGATGGATCACTGTGCTGAGAGGAGGAGCTGGGTCCTCACTGCTAATGGAGACTTGCCCCTTTCTGCACAGCCCTTTGTGGTGCCGGCTTTGCTGGAACCTGCTTGTCCATGTCCTGCTCTCAGAGGTGGGGGATGGAAGATTGATGATATGTAGGACCACAGTGACGCTTTTATTTACACATTTTGCCTTACATTGTAAAAGTGATTTTTTTTTCAATGTAGCTGTTTCCATTCTGGAAGTAAATTGGTTATCACATACTGTAGTCATGGTGAGGACAAGGTGGCAGGGGCTGGGGCGTGGGTAGAAGTGAGGGAGTGGTCTTAGGAAGTGCGGAAGGGACCCTGGAGCTCAGCTTATCCAGCTGCTCATTTCATGGGGGCCAAAAATGAGACCCAGAGTTCTGACGCCACCTTTCACACACCTGAAACATGAGCTAAGGGTTCGGGCTTTCTGACTCCGGTAAAGCTCTTTCTTTCTGATTCCTAGTCCTTTCCCTCCCCGCCTTCTCCAGCCCATTTGCAGAGTTCCCGGGTTCCTCTGGTCTTACCTTTCCCTTGGAACAGCCTCTGATTCACTGAGAGGAATAGACTGCTCATCACCACATGTGTTCCTGTGGCTCCACTGGAGTCAGAAATGAAGTATCCAAGGACTGCCCCCCAGTGTTACCGCAGCCTCCAGCTGAAGTGGGGAGAGAGGTGCTTGAAGTGACAGCTTGGCTGCAGTTCTATTTTAAAATGGATAATTTTAATTTGGAGGGAGCCAGGTAGCCTAAACAATGCTTTGACACTAGAAACAAAAAAATCCATTTGAGTATATTGACACCGCTAAGGAGAAGCTGGTGTCCAGCCGGGTGCTGATGCATGGCTGTCTTCTAGCATAAGTGTTTCATCACTTTGCCTTGATGAATGTGTTTCGTGGACATGCTTTCACTTTATATTCCACAGTCATTTATGTTGAAGGTCATGCCTTTTCTAGTACCATTCCCACTTCCCCACATTCTTGTCAGCTTTGGAGATCCATGTGTCCTCAGTGGAGCAACTCTACTTCAATCTCAGTTTATTTCTAGTTGACAGTTCCCTGTACAGTTAATAGGTCTCCTTTTGAAACAGGGAATGTAGGTGAACAGTAGAGGTCATAGGTGAATTAAGTGTCTTTTTCTTCTCAATTAACAGGTTTAAATTGTATCTATTTTTATGATTAGTGGAGAGAAATATGCCAGTTCTCATTATCCTGTGTTTTTGTCATGCATATGATATAGAATGGTGTTTGAGGTGACACAGATCTCAGAAATTGCCTCCTAGTCAAGCCCCTAGTGTTGTCGATAAGGAATCAAAGGCCCTGAGAAAAGGGTTTTGCTCATTTACTCAGGCAGTAGTTCTTACTCCAGTCCAGTGTTTCTTCTGCTGTATCATCATACACATAAAGAGAAACACACCAGCTCTTTTCAAATCCACCTTTGCCTACTTATTACCAGAAACAGGTGTCTCAGGACCATTTCCCAAGAAATTTAAACTTCTGTCACAAGCCTTTAGCGGCAGCCATCCTGGTAAACAACTATAGGCCTTACCACTGTTGTGGAGATACGAAGATGGTCCTTGCCCTCCAGAAAATTACCTTGTAGTTTGAAAGTCTTTTCGATGGGGTAAAATAACATCTTCCGCGTTTTATTCATAGAATGATTGCTGCGGTAGAGAGGGAACACTGGTTTCTTCTCCACTTCATCCTCACCCTGTCCACCATTGACTCGTGTCATCCACGATCGCTCAGGGTTGACAGGGAAGGTGTTGTGGAGCAGAACCAGGCTTGTGGAAGTTTCTGTGCACTGCCCCTTGTGCTGGCACCTGTGGTACTGATGCGTTCATGTCTCCATCTGTGCTTCCCATTCTCTCTGCAGGTATAACCGAGACTACGTGGTAGAAGGCGAACCCTATGCTGGTTATGACAGACACAATGCAGAGGTGGCAGCCTTTCACCTGGACAGGTATGTGTGTAGTCACAGTGCTTTACTTGCATTGTTTCCTTTCAAAAATATCCTGGAAGGAGAGGGCATGTGGACTCCCCCTCACCCGCATAAAGGCTGTGACACTAATAACTTTGACTTGTTACCTACTTTGGAGAGCTGACTGACTGATTCCATGAAATGTGTATGAGTCCATCATAATTCAGATGGTACTAGGAATACCAAAATACATTTTTCTTTTTTTCCATATATTTTTATTGATTTCAGAGAGGAAGGGAGAGGGAGAGAGAGATAGAAACATCAATAATGACAGAGAATCATTGATCGGCTGCCTCCTGCAGGCCCCCTACTGGGGATCAAGCCTGCAAGCCAGGCATGTGCCTGACCAGAAATAGAACCATGACTTCCTGGTCCATAGGTTGATGCTTAACCACTGAGATACACCAACCGGGCCCAAAGTACATTAACTCCTGGCTTCTTTGGGTTATTTCATTCTGGTCTTCCTTTGTCATTATCATGAAATGAAGATGTTACTGGTAAATAAAACCAGTAACATCTGGCAGGATGAAAACCAAGGTTTGAATTCAGATCTCTAAATTGAACTGGTTGTTTACCATGAGCCTGGCAACACTATTTGTTTGTTTTTTTGTTTGTTTTTTAAATATATTTTATTGATTTTTTACAGAGAGGAAAGGAGAGAGATAGAGAGTTAGAAACATCGATGAGTTAGAACATCGATCAGCTGCCTGGAAGGAGAGGGCAACCCAGGTACATGCCCTTGACCGGAATCAAACCTGGGATCTTTCAGTCCGCAAGCCGACGCTCTATCCACTGAGCCAAACCGGTTTCGGCATTTGTTTGTTTTTTAAGTAGACCTAAACTAATTCCAAAAAAGTAGACCGTTTTTGGCCTAAAGTAATACTGACTTATCCCCATTTGCTAGAAACATAGAGCATGACGTATATAATGAATGTTATTGTCCTTTATATAAAACTAGGGAGTTTTATATGCACTGAGGAGGGGGGTCCCTCAGCCTGGCCTGTGCCCTCTCGCAGTCCAAGACCCCTCGAGGGATGTCTGACTGCCGGCTTAGGCCTGATCCCCAGGATCCCTCACTCTTTACCAGCTGCTTGCTGCTCCTTACCTCTCGGCTCACTGCTCCTTAGCGCTGCCGTGAAGCCAGTCATGAGCCCGGCTTCTGGCTGAGTGGCACTCCCCCTCTGGGAGAATGCACTGACCACCAGGAGGCAGCTCCTGCATTGAGCGTCTGCCCCCTGGTGATCAGTGTGCATAATAGCGACTGGTCGTTCTGGTCATTTTGCCATAACAGTTGCTTAGGCTTTTATTATATAGATATGCACAGCTCCAATAACCCCAATAATTCCAAAGGAAAAAATAATAGACATGAATTCTATATGTATAAATTAGCTAGGGAAATTAACATTTTTTCAGCAGTAACCTTGTGAGTGAACTGTCTAGTATCTTACTTGCTCTTCTGATCAGCTCATTCATCAGGCACGTGGACAGACTTGTAAAGAAATATTCACAATGTTTTTTAAATGTAGCTGGAAGAAAATTAAGGTAAATTTTTGTCTTTTTTTGGATTAAGAAGGATATTCTAAGAATAAGAGTAATGGTCTTTAAAAAATCACAAAGAAAAAGTTAGTAGACTCAACTAAATAAAAAATTAACTCACACGTCAAGAAATATCAAACAAAATCTAAATGCAAACAAACCAGAGGAAAGTACTTGAATCTAATGTAATCTAAGCATTAATAGCCTTAATATATAAATATTTATACAAATCTATACATATACTCAAATTCTAGTAGAAAATGGTCTAAGGACACAGTTGATGGAATAGAAATTATTGATTGCTAATGAATATGGGGTAGGGAGCTCATCCTTATCAGTAATACAAAAAGTCCAGTTAAACAATGGGATGCTATTTCTTCCGGCTGAAAATAGCAGAAATGAAAAAAAGCACCTTCATTGGCAGGAATCTGTTGAGATTCAGATGATGTCTCTGGCATTAATCGGTTCAATCTTTCAAGAACTCTAGCCTTATGTGTCAAAAAACTTAATATTCATACCCTTTGATGCAAATATCTAAGGTGTTTCTAGAAAGGACTGTGGAGAAATAATTAGAAATTCAAAGATACATATACCACAATCTTAGCTGTAGCTGGTAGCAATCTAAAAAACATCTAATGCCATGAAAAGGTTAAAATGTTTTGTTCACAATCCCATGAATTTTCACTGCTTCTTTTAAGAATTAATGGGAAAGAGATAGGTAAATCCTACTCGTCACTTGATGGAATACCAGAATTAGTCTTTCCAAGACCTCATTTGTTTCCCAATTTTCTTCATCCCCAAACCCCTCCCTGTTTCCCTATTGATGGATACCAGCAGTGCTTGAAGGTCATTTTCCCACATCCATACCAATACTTTATATTATCCAACATATCAGTTTTTGTTCATCTAACATATGGAAAGTGGTATTTTATTTTGTAATTCCCCAATTATTGACAAAATTTAGTATCTCATCTTTTCACAGCACATCACCCACTTAATGATTACTTTTGATATTAATTAAATATGATGTTTCCATTTATGACTTGTGCCATGGGAGGTCCTTCTCTACCTCCAAATCTGAAAAATACTCTGTAGCCAGTCACCCGACCCCTTTTGTTAACTGCCTCCTCTGTGACTTGGCTCCTCGGCACTAAGCTGGCTGCTGTTCTTTGGCCTGATAGTGGCCACTGGGAGAAAACATATTTTCCACTGTTTCTCCAGTCCATGGCTCCTGACACTTTTCTACTCTGGGGTGCTGTTTCTTCATTTCATTAGGGATTGACCACTTTCTCTGGCCTCAGGAGATTCTCTCTATTTTTATGTTATTTTGACAAATCTGTTGATCTCTGTGGCTTTTCTAAGATTCAGTTTAGGACAAAGTCACTCAGAAGCCCTGAACAATAGACTTTTATTGCATAGCCACTTAAAAAAATTTTTTATTTTAAAAATTTGGGGGTGATATTAGTTAATAAGATATTTGTCAAGTGTGTAGTTCTGTAATACATTGTCTGTATATTATTGCATTGTGTGCTCACCATTTGAAGTCAGGACTCTTTCTCACAATACCGTTGACCCCCTTTGACACATTTCTTCCTCCCCCTCCCCCTTTCTCTCTGGTAAGCAGTGTACTACACAGCCATTTTTAAAGGCTTTGTAATGACATGAGAAAAGGCTCATGATATAATGATCAGTGAAAAACAGGACACAAAACTGCATATTGTGTGTATATATACACAAGAGTGAGTATGTGTTTATATATACTTGTAAAGGAAAAATGCTCATATGCCAAAATGTCAATTATTTTTGGATTTTGGAATTATGGATGATCTTTATTTTCTTCATTATAAATTGTCTTTGTGTTCCAGATCCTGCCCTCCAACATTTCTTCTAGACAGGAAATTTCATTTAAAGAAAGAGTTATTGTGCTCTACTTTTAGACCATTAGAAAAAAGTATCTGTATTTAATTTGTCCCATGGGTTTTATCCTTTTACATTAAGCCATATTTTTCTGTCAATGTGCTGTTTTATCCAAAGCTTGGAACCCAAGTATGGATTTAGATTCAGGTTTTTGTTGTTTTGTTTTGTTTTGTTTTTCTTAGCTTTGTTAAAATTTATTTAAATTTTTTATTATGAAAATTTTCTAACAGAAGTAGAGAGAATAGTATAATGAACTCATATACCCACTCCCTGGAATAAATAATTGTTTACATTTTGCCAGATTTGCCTTATCATTTTTGTTGAAGTGTATATTAAAATAAGTTACATACATCTTGATATTAAACTCATAAACATATGTACCTCTAAAAAATATTTATACCTGTCAACAATTCCTTTACACATCTAACATAATTAACCGTAATTTTTAATACTGCTGTTGAAATTATATCCTCAAGGATTTTTCTCTTCTTTTCTTCAACCCTCCAAACCAGGATTCTGGGTTTTCGCCGAGCCCCGTTGGTGGTTGGCAGATTTGTTAATCTTCGGACAGAGATCAAGCCTGTGGCCACGGAGCAGCTCTTGAGCACCTTCCTAACTGTAGGTAAGAAGATGTAAAGAGCTTTGAGATGGTGGAACAGTTATTAAGTTAATTGGGGCGTCATTGAGCAAGCTGGTTCGTGACTTCCAGGAATTGAAGAACTGAAGGGAATACAGAAGCAAGCCAGGCAACTTGCTCCTGGATCACTGGGGAAAATGGATCTAAAGGTAGATGGCAGAAAACTGAAAGTTTTCCCTAATGTGTACTTTGTTGTGTCTGTGAAGTAGGAAGTGAGATCATTTACTGATAATGTAAGTAGCTGGTAACTTTATTTCCTTCTGCTTGTTCTTAGCTAGACCTCAAACTCAATTTTTGGCCTATAACTGTTATTGTCTGTATATCGTTGACTGGGTAGTTTTTTCATATACATGTACTTTCTTGGGATCTGTCTCCTTAGAATTGAGGAATCCTTAAGGCAACGTTGTGAGAAAGTCAGAAATTCCCTTGTAGGATTCCATGTGGGCCTGGAAGATCACCACTGCCTTCTCCTACTCTGCAGCGGGTAGCCTGTAACTCATGTGCATGGAACTGGCTACAGTCCCTCTGGGCTCTGCTCTCTGGTATACCTCACTCTGAGCTAAAATTCTCATTCCTGTTCTTGTGGGCACAGTGAGAATTGGGGCAGTTCAGAGGTGCTGTGGTCTCTTATCCCGGCCTCTGCATGGTGACAGTTTCAATGACACAGTGCTTCACATTATGACTTGAAACAGTCATTGCAAGATGAACTTCACGTTGCTTTGCTAGAGTGAATGGGTTTGCATTTAAAATGAGGTGAAACTGAATATTTAACAGACGTGTGAGAGATTCATCATGCAGAGTTTAACTTATAAGGCTAGAGCAATGCTGTTCTTACAAATAACCAAAAGCATCAGTGTCACTGATTTGTTTCTTATATTTTCTAAGCACTTGTGCTTGTTCAATTTTAAGCACTTTTACGCAGTTTCTGTATTTGATCCTCAACAAAAAGTGCAGTAAGGTGAGGAGGTTTAGCAGCGTGTCATACTTGAGAAAGAAGCTGAAAAGTTAAATGACTTTCCCAAAGTCACAAAGCTACTCATTGTTATCTAGGATTCAAACACAGATTTTAAAACTCTAAAATATTTAATTTGCTTGCGTTCTTTAATATTTATTCATTCAACAACATTTTGTTTACCTTCTGTGTGGCAGACTCTGTGCTGAATGTCAAAAAATGAGTGATACCTTCCTGCCTTCAAGGAGCTTTGTCTATGGGGAAGCCAGACACAGAGGGTCGTGGAGGGGCAGGCACCTGGAAGTCAGAGCAGGGTGATGTTATTCAGCGGAGGTGCTATTGCAACCAAGTCTCAAAGGGAGAGTAGCAATCCCACAGGGGGATACAGTGGGAAGGAACATCCCAGGTTTGGATTCCTAACCTTTTTTGTTTGTTTGTTTTGTTTTGTTTTTTAAATATATTTGATTTTTTTACAGAGAGGAAGGGAGAAGGATAGAGAGTTAGAAACATCGATGAGAGAGAAACATCGATCAGCTGCCTCCTGCACACCTCCTACTGGGGATGTGCCCGCAACCCAGGTCCATGCCCTTGACCGGAATCGAACCTGGGACCCTTGAGTCTGCAGGCCGACGCTCTATCCACTGAGCCAAACCGGCTAGGGCATGGATTCCTAACCTTTTTTGTGCTAAAGACTCATTTGGCAATCTAGAGAAGCTTATCGATCCTTTCCCATAATAATGTTTTTTTTAAATAAATAAATAGATGCATAGACTTACAAATGAAACCAATAATGTTGAAGTATTAATAAATTTAAAAAATTACAAGTAGCAAATTTGTGAGAGTCCCTTGTGCCTTGCTATTTAACACATTAAATAAGAAGACCTAGCAGCTCTAGTAACTACCTTAATTTGAGTCTACAAATGATACCTGTTGTATTTGCAACAACAATGCTACTATGTTATGAAAACTCTGTGATTTCTTCTAGTGAAAAAGTCACAGATAATGGCAATACTGCTATAGTTTGCTCCCTACCGTAGTAGCAATAATTGAAGGGAATGCTAAGTTTCAAATAGAAGTCAATGAAAATAAAACTATGATTTTGTTTCCATCCATTTCCCCGGTGGAAGAGCATGACAGGTCAGGAGACTGTGATTTAGCTGAAGTTAAGGTTCTGTGTGGGGTTGGAGGCTGAGCAAGGCAGGTGGTCAGGAGAGTGTCACCAAAGGGCCTGTGCACCAACTTTCTCCCTAAGCACTGGGGGCTACTAACATAGCCTGAGCACTGGGAGCTCTTGGCGTGAATTCATATGCAGCAAGTCAGAAGTAACATATTTAAGAGATACTCTAGAATGGGAAGAACTAGTGGACATATTAAATGGAACATTCCAGAAATAAACAGTTCACAAGTTTTAAACTGTGCACCATTCTGCGTAGCGTCATGAAATCTCACCTGTCTGCTCTGTGCGCCCCAGGACATGCGAATCCTCCCCTGGTCCAGGGTATCCACGCTGTATACGCTCCCCACCCACCCTGTGCATGCCATCTTCCTCCTCCAAGGGCTCTGGCAAAACAGAAGAGGGCATTCCTTCCTTTCCTTTCCTTAAAGTGAGTTCAGAAAGACACTGTGGCGGTAGTGGCTCCTGGAGAGAGATTGGGTAGGAAGGACATGGAGAAAGGGAGACTTACTTTTTCATATATACCCTTTGGTACCTTTTGAATTTTTTTTTATACCTTGTGCTTCAATTACCAATACTGTTTTAAATGTAAGTTCAGGATCTTGGTTTTCACAATATCTGCTTACCTAAGCTGCTCTCTTCTCCATTGTTTAGGGAGAATTTGGAATCTTCCTTTTTTTCCCTTAAGTGTGTTTGGTTCCTTTCTCTCCTTTAGGAAATAATACTTGTTTCTATGGGAAGTGTTATTACTGCCGAGAAACAGAGCCAGCTTGTGCCGACGGAGACATGATGGAGGGATCTGTTACCCTCTGGCTTCCAGATGTGTGGCCTCTGCAGAAACACCGACACCCCTGGGGCAGGACTTACCGAGAGGGCAAACTGGCCAGGTAAATGCTCCTGTGAGTCACTACTAGTCCTCCCCTGGGCCTGGCCCGGCGCTGCCCATATGCAGCCAGGGGTTCTGTCCAAGACTAAGAGAATGGTGGAGGGCCAGGGGCAACCCTGCTAGGCAGGGGCTTCATCTCCTCTGTGTGGAGACAGTGCAGGGACAGTGTCGGCTCTTAGTAAGTAACCTGGTGCTGCTGCTTGCCTCCAGGTGGGAGTACGATGAGAGCTACTGTGACGCAGTGAAGAAAACATCCCCTTATGACTCCGGCCCGCGTCTCTTGGATATCATTGACACGGCTGTTTTTGATTACCTGATTGGCAATGCTGACCGCCATCACTATGAGAGTTTTCAAGACGACGAGGGTGCCAGTATGCTCATCCTTCTCGATAATGCCAAAAGGTAGGACCACAGGACTACCTAGTCAGGTAGCGGTTTCTAGGCTCTCCTGGAAAACTCCAGAACACACCTGACAGAAGGCATCTTTCCTGTTTCCCCTTGGACTCTTTGCTGTTGGCGATCCTGTTCTCCTGTCTTGTTCAGGTTTGCACTCCTTCCACCCTCGGGGACCTGAGAACTTTAAAGATGGAAAAGTAGGTTTTTCCCCAGGAGTCAAAGACTGCTTTGTTCACAGACAGCTGGGAACCAAGGCCTTTGATTTGCCGCCATTCACGTCATTCTTTCCTGACTATGATATTTAGAATCTTGAGAAATACATAATAGAACATGAAATTTGATTACTGTTCAACTTATTTTACCCAAAGGTTCTTGCCGTTTACAAAATTAATTTTTTGATAGGCTGCTTTGCTATTTTCGTAGAAGTGTTTGCCCAGACTTTTTGCTATCATGAGAGGAAGAGGAGTTGCTTAGTGATAATATATAAAGACAACTTACTTTTATCTTCAATAAGATTATTTTACTATTTTTGAATCAATGATTGTCCTTAGTTTTTCAAGTCTGGGCTCTTTGAAGAACACATTGTATTTTCAGTTTACACTCTGCATTTTCCATGGTGCCCAGTTCATTACCACACTTTTGCTACACTTAATAGAATACTTTTGTTTGCCAAACAGAGTACTTCTTTGGAGCCCAGCATTGTCCGCGTCACTATGTTAACGTTGGTTGCTGAGACTAAGCTGAGACATGGGTCCTCAGCAAAGAATACGTGGGCAGCATTTGCTAATGATGCCAGCCTCTTACCCTGAGCACGGGCACCTCGTGCTCTGTGAAAGGTGGTGACAGCTGTAGAAAGTGAGAGGCCAGCTAACATCTTGCCAGCAGAGCAGGCAGTAGCCAGTGCTACATACATTCCTGAAAATTTTTTATCCTTACTTGTAAAAATGATCCTTTTTTTAAAAGATCACGTGAATTATGGAAATATACATTGAAATAGTTGCCTTTGCCATTTATTATTTGAGGGCCTGCATTGTGCTTTGGGTTACCAGACCCTTTAGTTATTATGAGGAGCTTCCAGGAAGAGTAGGAGGTTAACAGTTTTTCTAGAATCAGTTCTCCTTTTTTTAAAAAAACAAAACAAAAAAACTAGCAATCTGTGTACTTGGGTTCTGGCTAGGAAAGAATTCAGAGTAAGACCCAAATTGTAAGAGAACATTTATTGGATAAAATACGGAGGTAGAAAAAGTAATTCCTAGAAGAAATGGGCTTAGGAAACAAGTGACGGAGTTAAGGGAAAGGCACCGAGGGTGTGCTCCTGGGAAGGAGAGCGCCAGTTCTCCTTTTCTGACTGAATTACTGCCAAGATCATTTTTACATCTGCTTTGAACTAGCTGTTTTCTCAGCCTCTGCGGGTAGTTTTTGCATTCTGAATCTGTTCCTATACTTGCAGGGAATAGGATAATCCAAACCTTTTCTGGTTGGTAATTTTGGAGAACAGTGAAACTTGTTTTTACAAGTAATGACCATCTGCTTGTTGGTGGGACCCTGACCGGAATAGCCTGTGTTTCTCCGCCCACACTAACCTTCTCCGGGGTCAGAGGTCTCCAGGTTCCCGCTCTGTCGGTGGTACCACGGTTGTGCCTCCGCACCTTGCTGTATTTTGTCAGGAGAGAGGGGTCTTGTAAATGCGTGTATATATTGTTCGATGCTGCAGAACAAACTGTTAGGAATCTGTGTCTAATTGGTCATGCCCTGTTTATTTTTAAGTGACTTGAGCTGTAGGAGCATGAAATTATTTAGAATCACATTTGGATTTCTTATAGAATTTTCTCTTGCTTTGATGCTTCTACCTAATTCACCGAGATTTCATTTCATTTTCAGCTTTGGGAACCCCTCGCTGGATGAGAGAAGCATTCTTGCCCCTCTCTATCAGTGTTGCATGTAAGTTACGCACATCAAATGCCAGGTTCAGATAACAGTATGGGAGTGTTTTTGGCCTTAAAACTTCCTAATACCTGAGCAGTGCTTTTCATGCTTTTCTAACCTAGAACCCCTTAAGGGCCTGACATGGAAGATCAAGGAAAAGTGGAGGCTGGTGACCCAACACTCAGAATTCATTTTGAGTTTTGTATGAATAAAAGTTTTCGTTCTATTTAGTAATGTATATCCATGTTTGTTTTAATATCAGAATATAGTCCCTCCCCCCAAAAAATTCTAGTACAATCTGTGTCCCTGGTCGCTGTCTTGTGTTTACCTTATGGTTTCAAGTCCTCTCACTCACCATCACAAACATCCTGTGCGTTGCATATCTCAATTTGAAATTATATAAACCAAAAGTGACATTTCCCATACGTATTTAGTGACTGATGTTATTTTTTTAAGTCTATGCTGTAGAACAAAGAAAAAGTAAATCAAAATAAAATTTAAAAATGGCTTTAAGAAGCTCCTTTTCAGATCATGATTGCAGTAAAATTTTAAAGTGAGCACTGAGAATGAGCTGGAATCCCCCACGGAGATGCAATTTCAGCAGCACCACTTCCCACTGGCGAATTCCCTGGGTCCCTGGGACCATGTGAGACTGCTCCTCCTGGCAACGCACCTTCTCTTTTTTCTTTCTTTCTTAAATGTACTTTTACTTATCTATTTTTTCCTTTTTTAAAATATATTTTACTGATTTTTTACGGAGAGGAAGGGAGAGGGATAGAGAGTCAGAAACATCAATGAGAGAGAAACATCGACCAGCTGCCTCCTGCACAACCTCCACTGGGGATGTGCCCGCAACCAAGGTACATGCCCTTGACTGGAGAGGAAGGGTGAGGGGAAAGAGATAGTAACATCAATGATGAAAGATAATCATTGACCAGTTGCCTCCTGCACGCCCCACACTAAGAATCGAGCCCACAACCTGGCATGTGCCCTGACCAGGAATCAAACCGTGACTTCCTGGTTCATAGGTCGACACTCAACCACTGAGCCACCATGGCCGGGCTTTTGCCTTTTTTTAATCACAAAAATGTTCTGCAGAAAGCTTATCCAGGTAACCCTTAATTATCTTGATATTGGGAAGCAATGATACAGCCAAGCAAAAACTATATCTTTCAAGGAGGATGTTTTTATATTAATACTTAGTGTTATCAGTCTGGTCCCATCAGGAGATGGAAAAAACACAGTGGGTTAAATGGGAAAGTTTAGTGTAAAGAATTATTAACTCTGATGCAGGAGTGACTATAAAGAAAACGAGGGCTGAGGGAGAGCACCCAAGAAAGGACAAACTTGGACGGGGATCCCCTTTGTTGTTCAGCCCACTGGATGGCAGAGAAGTCTATGAGTTTGCAGACGCTGGGTGAGGCAAGGTATAGGCAATCAACAACTGGCATCATGAAATACAGAGGGATGGATGCCTAGGTAGAAGCCCTCTAGGCTGCAAACAAGGCATGTTTTTGGGTCTGCAGGGTGCCAGAATGGTCAGGTGGCCTTTGGCACTCTGGTTTCCATATCAGCCAGGCCTCAGGATGGTTTTCACCAGGCCAGGCTGAGGCTGCAAGATCACCAAGGGCCTGCCGGTTCTGGGAATGTGGCCGGGACAGATCTGCATATGATGACCTCGCCCACACATGACTGACCCACTGGGCAACAGCCAGTAGCAGCTGGAGAACCCCTTACTTCTGCATTGTTCCTTGAGCGCCCTCTGCTGAGAAGCTTAGGAGAGAGAGATGCTTAAAGGAAATCTGTCCATTACAGCAGACAGATGCTTGGGGCATTTGTAGTGGATTTAAAAATACAAAACCACACTGTTTCTTTGCTTGTGCATTGCTTCCATGCTTTAGCCAAAGTTTGATCTCCTTTGCTTTTTAAATAGTTGCCGAACAGGCTGCCTCTTGCAGAGTCCAACTTTTCTGCATACCTAGTAATTCTCATAGTACCCACAGGCAGATCAGTACTTTTCTTCTGAGATAAACAAAAGATCTTTACTCAGTGAAATAAGGAAAACTGGTATCCTTATAGTAAACTTTTCCTATTTATAATATTAGTGGTAGAAATTTTTTAAAATTCAGAAATGTAAAAAGAAGGAAATAAAATTACCCATTAAGATATAAGGATAACCCTAACCGGTTAGGCTCAATAGATAGAGCGTCGGCCTGCGGACTCGAGGGTCCCAGGTTCGATTCCAGTCAAGGGCATGTACCTTGGTTGCGGGCACATCCCCAGTAGGGAGTGTGCAGGAGGCAGCTGATGGATGTTTCTCTCTCATCGATGTTTCTAACTCTCTATCCCTCTCCCTACCTCTCTGTAAAAAATTAATAAAATATATTATTAAAAAAAGTATTCTCTCAAATAACTATGCAGGTTTTTAAACACTTACTCTCCAATGTCTGCATTGATCTTGCCACAGAGTCATCAGAGCTCCTACTGGTCCATGGACCATACTCTGAGTAGCACTGATCTAGACTCCCACGATTAGGTCAAAGGGTAAGCGCCTCTGTTGTTTTTCCAGATGCCCCGCCACGGCTGTGCCATTTTGCACACCCACCAGCAGTACATGAGGGCGCCTCCTTTCCCACAGCCTCACCAACAGTGGTCTAACTTGGATTTTTGCTAAACCGATAGGTGAGCAGAGGTATCTTAGGCTAAGTTTTAATTTGCATTGCTCTTATTATGAATGAGAATAAGTGTCATTCATGTTTTTAAGCCCAGTTTGCATTTATATTCATTTTCTACAAGACTGTTGGTTTTTTTCTTCTTGATTCCCAGGAGTTATTTACATAGCAGAAATATTAATGTA